GTTCTGTGCGGCACATCCATGAGAAAAATGTCCCCGGAGCCACTCTGGACCCTGGCCGGGCCGGCTGTGCCCCGGCACTTGGCCCCCCTGGAAGGCTTTTTGTACTCCCTGAAAGATGCTCATATTTTTATAGAGACGCAGGAGCTTTTCCGGCAGCGGCGTTTCCCCAGCTGGGCCCCAACCTCTGTGTACAGAAAAGGACTCGATGCAAATATTCCTTAATTAATTTATTACTTTTTATAAGCTAAACGGGCAGTGCAGGACTGTCGCAGGGGCCAACCCAGCTCTGGGAGTCCCAGCCTTTCCCGTGCGTCTCCCAGCCCACTGTTTTCTAACCCACTTGCTTTTCCCTACTTTTAAACTCCAGTTCTAGCTGGAAACACTCCAAATCTCCTAAGAACCCCATAACTCTAATATTTAAAATTAAAACAAAACCCCAAATCCACAGCAACATCCCCAAAATGCTGGGATGCGGGGGGGAGGGGAAATATTCTTTGCATATGGATCATCAGATGATGAACATATGGATAATTTTATAAGCTTATAGGAGGTATAAAAAGGATTTAATTATTTTATTTGGAGATTTTATAGCCTCCATTTGGCCCTTCCAGGTGGGGAAAACTGAGACATTCCCCAGATGGGAATATCAATGGGACTTTTAGGGTCAGTTTTTGCTCTTTCAAAAATCCCATGATGTTGGTGGGTCAGTGCACATACACTTACAAAATCCCAATTTAATTTATCTTTTTTTTTTTTTTTTAATTGCCCTAACCCAGTGAGCACCTGTGCTGCTCCACTTGTTATTTGGGAATTTCACCCCTTTCTTTCCCCCCTCATTGCTCTCTATCCAACAAACAACAGCTCAACCCAGCATTTCTCCCCCGTTTCTACCGTTTTCTGGCCTATAAACGTTTCCATTTGTTGATGCATGTTCTGGCCTCCCCTCCCCTGCCGTGGTTTGGTGACAGGGGGACATCCCTGGTTTGCCAACCCCGCTGCCATCAGGTGTCACCGTTACCCCGGTGGATTTTTTTGGGCTGCGTGTTGGATTCTTTTGTGCACGTGTGGTTTGTGCCAGGCTCCGTATCCCGCTTCTCCCGTTCAACTGGTGCTGTTAAACCCCCCAGAAATGAGCAACCAGAGCTGCTCCGTGTTTCCTTTGCTTCTCCCTCCTCTCTCTGTAGGAAGGTCTTGGGAAGGCAGCGGGGTTTTGGGGAGACACCGGGCACCCCCTGCCCCCTGGCACGGTGGCATGGGGGGCTTGGCTGCACACTGGTGGCGTGGGTAAGGTGGGAAGAGGAATTTTTAAAGTGGGAAATGTCTTAAAAGCCGAGGGGACTGTGTGTTCCTGCCCAGTGCCCGGCTCTGTTCGTACCTTCGGGAAGTTTTATGTTGGATTAAAATCGTCCCTTGCGCTGAGTGTGGTGTCCAGTGGCACTGGAGAGTGCAGGGCAGAGAGTGCCCGCTCTGGGGGTGATGGCAGGGGATGAACGGGGTGCCAGCACAGCTGGGAGGGAGGGGAGGTGGCCCTGCAGTGGCACTGGGAGGCTGGCACCCAGCCTGGCTCAGGCACCAGTCCCAGTGTGGTGCCAGTGCCCGGAGCAGCGTCCCACACCCCAGTGACCTGTGCCCAGGGCAGTGCCCCGTGCTTGGTGCCACTCCCCACTCCAGGTATGCCCCATTCCCAAATCCCTGCCCCATTCCCAAATCCCTGCCTCATTCCTAAATCCATGCCCCAGTCCCAAATCCATGCCCCATGCTCTGTCCCTGTGCCGTGCCCGATGCCCCATGCCCAGTGCAGTGCCCCGTGTCCGGTGCTGTGCCCAGTGTCCAACGCCCAGTGCAGGGCCGGTGCTGTGCCCTGTTCCTGGTTCAATCCTGGTTCAATTCCAGTACAATCCCAGTTCAATCCTGGTTCAATTCCGGTACAATCCTGGTTCAATACTGGTTCAATTCTGGTACAATCCCGGTGCTGTGCCCCATTCCCGGGACAATCCCGGTACAACCCCTATTCAATCCCAGTTCAATCCCGGTGCTGTGCCCCGTTCCCAGTTCAATCCCAGCTCAATTCCGGCTCAATCCCGGTGCTGTGCCCCATTCCCTGTTCAGTGCCGGTACAATCCCTGTTCAATCCCCGTTCAATCCTGGTTCAATGCCAGTGCTGTTCCCCGTTTCCGGTTCAATCCCGGTTCAACCCCGGTTCTATCCCGGTTCAATCCCGGTGCCCGATGCGGTGCCTGCTCCATTCGCCACCAGGGGGCGCCACCGCGCCCTCCCTCCGGGCTCTCTCGGCTCCTTCCGGAGAGTCTCGCGGGAGGGGCGGGGCCCCGATAGCGATCGGGCCAGGGGAGGGGCGGGGCCGGAGCCTTCGGTCAGCTCCGTCCTCTGTCGTCTGCTCTCGGTTATTTCCGGGATAGATTCGGGCAGTTCCGTTCTCTCTCGTCGGCTGTCGGCTGTTTCCGGGGCGGGTTCGGGCCGTTCCGGCGGCGCTCGGGCCTGTCCAAGGCTCTGCCGGGCCGGAGGCAGCAGCGGGCTGGAGGCGAGCGGCGGCGGATGGGGCCGGCGGAGAGGTGCGGCGGGGCCGGGAGCGGCGGGATCGGGATCAGGGGCATCGGGATCGGGGACAGCGGGCCCGGATCGGAACCAGGCCCAGGGTGGGCGTCGGGACCCCCTGATCGTGAGGCGCCCCGGGGCTTGGCTCTGTCCCTCAAGGGGCAACCTCGAGGATGTCCCCGGACCCTTCGGGAGCTGCCGGCGCAGGGTGTCCCGCTGCCAGGACACTGCCACTGCCGTGTGGCTTCACCGTGATGCCGGGGCTATGCCCCCCGGTCCCCCCAGGGCTGATCCTGTGTCCTCCCATTGACGGGGCTGGATCCCCGATTCCTCCCGATCCGTCCCTGTCCCCCCATTGTCGAGGATATGCCCGCCTGTCCGCCCCAGGGCTGTCTCTGTGTCCTCCCATTGCCGGGGCTGTGGCCCCCTATCCCCCCCCCCGTGCTGTCCCTGTCCCCCCCATTGTCGGGACTGTACCCCCCCATTTCCCCCCGAGCTGTCCCTGTCGCTCCATTGCCGGGGCCCGAATCCCTCCTGGTTGTCTGCAGCCATCACAGATCCCCCTCTGTGCCACTGTCCCCACACTGGTGACAGTGCAGGGATCCCCCATCGCTGAGGGTCCTGGGGGTCCCGTGGGCCTCTCAGGTCCCAGCTCTGTTCCCCCTGCCCTGGGGCAGCTCACACCCAGCGGTTCCCAGGCTGGAGCTGGTGGCCCGGGGATGTGCCAGGTTCAGCCCAAGGGTGGCTTTGCAGGGCATCCCCCAAGCCCTGCTCTGGCGTGAGCCCCCCCATTCCTTCCCAGGGAGGTTGGCCATTGCATTTATTCCCTTCCTGGGGCTGTTTCTCAGCCCCTTGAGGAGGAAGGTTCCCATGGTTTTGTGCCTCCTGAACTGGGGGTCTGTGATCAATGAGGGGATAAAACCAGGGGGTAAAACTGTGGAGAAAAGCGAGCTGTGAGGAGCTGGAGCAGCCCCAGCGCTGCCTTTCAATGGAGCCGAGGCTGCCTCTCCTCCCATTAATGCAGCTTTGATTTCCCAAGCAGCTCTTGGAGCCGCTGGGGAACTGGCCCTGTGACTTTCTCTGTGAGAGCAGAGAATGGAGACAGCTGAGTAAATATAGCCTAAATCACTGCTTTCCTGGCCATTCCCCCACCCTTCCCCGACATGCCAAGGGCTGCTGTGTCCCCGGGGCTGCACTGGCCTCTGCTCTAGCCTTCCACCCTGTGGGAAAGTCCAGGGCATGGTTTGGTTTCTTTGGTGGCTCTCTTTGACGTGGGCAGCTCGTGCTTCCAGCTTCGTGGCACGGCCTCGTTCCTCCTAAAGCTGATTTCTGCCCCAAACCCCAGCATTCCCAGCTCACTGGAACAAGGTTTTAGGCACACAGGAAAATCCTCTGTGCCTGCAGTTGGGTCTGGCTTGGACAAAGGCGCTGGGCTGGAAGGGAGAGCGCGGCTCAGCTGGAATGTGGCGAGCAGCAGAGTGGTTTGTGGAGCCAGTTTGGAGCCGTGTCAGAGCTCTGAGTGCCGGGGTGTGTTTACAATGAAAAAGAGTATTTATAATATCGAGGGCTCTTTTAATTCCTCTGGGAATCTCTGGAGCCGCAGCTTGGAGCTAAAGTAGCTGGGTAATGGAAGATGAAAAGCAGACAGAGGAAGGGATGGTGGATTTCTTCTTCTTCCTTCAAGTTGGAAGGTCTTGGCTCTCTCACCAATATCCAAATCATGCTGCTCTATTAACTTGGGTGCTTCTTACCTCGTCGGTTACTTCATGTGATTGCTGAGCTGTGCAGAGCTGCTAATAAATCATATAAATTCCAAATACCCTGGGGAATGTGATTTTAAGCAGATAAGTTAGCAAGAGCAGTTGGATTTTTTTTTTTTTTCATGTACTCAGGTTTTTTTTAGAACTGTAATTTTTTTGCCAAAATCCAGCTCCTGGGTTTCTATATCCCTAAAGCCAGCTCCATGAATGCTCCTAAAATGGAATTAGTGTGTTCTTGCTGCGTGGGGGATGGTGTAAGAGCAGCTTGGAGTGAGGTGCTGGGTCCTTCTCTGCCCACTGCCAGCAAATAAAAGTCTCTGGCCACATAAAAATGTCTTGTAGGCAGGAGGAGAATTTTTGTGAGGTGGTTGAGAAAGAACAAGCTTCAGCTGGAGCAAGGAAGTGTGAGAAGTCTTGGAGTAGGTGTGCAGACTGAGGTGCTCTCACACTGTCCAGCCTTTGAGCAGGAGTCTCTGGGACCTCCAGTGGTCTCACAAAAGTGAGGAAGCTGTTGGTCATCTTGTTTTATTCAGCTCCTTGTGTCCCTGCTAATCATGACATTGACCTTTTCAGTGAAATATTTCAGATATTCCTTCATTTCCTCGGGCTTTGGTGAATAAAGCAAGATATTTAATGAGACTCAGGCGTGAGTAGGAGATGCTCAGTGTCCTTGGCAGAGGGTGGCTTGTGGCTGTGGGCAGGAGCTGCTGCTGGCTGGCTGAGAAGCATTTTTGGGGAAAAGAAGAGGTGAAAACTGCCTTGGCTGTCCCATGCCTGGCTGGGGCACGGCTCAGGCATAGCTCCCCTCCTCCCCTGCAGCTTTTCCCTGTTTGGAAGGAAATACCAGCTGGCTTGGCA